CGTTGCAGCAATGTACTCAACAACTGCGAATGTACCCCTCAGACATGCAGTATTTTGACACGCAAACCCTCCGCGGACTGTGGCAATCGTCCCTTCTCAACCCAACCCTCTCTCACCGTCTTCCGCACGCCTAATCGCGGCTTTGGCCTGAAGCTACTGGAGCGCGTAAAGAAGGTGCGTTTACGGCGCGCCATTCCGAAAGATGTTTAACTTAGCCGTGATAACTATAAATTATGAGGCCCTGTGGAGACGTTTTCACGTAGTGCGGTAGTTTCTCCCCCCAGCTTCTATGACCACCACTTGAGCGGGAAGTATACCACAATACAGAGAAGCTTTGTATCACGCTTTCCCCCTGCTTGTATAGTAGATTCCTTATTTCTTGAAATAACAACCAAAATTCTGCACTGTGTTTTTTGATTCGAACAGATGACTTAAGTCGATTGGTATGACTAATTATCTTACAGCCTAATCTAAAAATATTTCTACCACCCCGGGATACCAGCTTTTGAATGATTTTCTTTCTGGCCACCCGAAAAAGGTATATTTTGTGGAAAAAAAGGCTGCTCAAGTAGTATGCATTTTTCTCATTGATTTTGATTGTCCTTATAAATTCAAACATGTTTTATACAAAACATGCACAACCATATTGTTTCTGGTTCTCGTTTGTTAGCGAATTACGCATTATTTAAATTTTATACTTGAAAGAGCATCTTTCGGTTTTTAAAACTGGCTAAATCAAGAGATCTGACAACTTATACACGCGATTAGGGGCCAACCTGGCCTCCCCTATTCTTAAGGTGGTCACTACAACAAGCCCAACAACCATTTATTATATCAGTTCACCGGAGGAATCAAGCGCTTAGTATTCACACGAATCAGGACTGCCACATCTGACTGCCTCTATTTTGCTCCCAAACAGTATGCCCTTTTCATTCATCTTGGATGTTTGCATGAACTCACTAATGATTCACAAACGGGATACATACGAGTTGTATCTTAAGGTAAGTACACTCCTGAATTTAACCCTTGACAGGAGGGGTGTGTGTGAGACAACAGGATTGTCTATTGACTCCGGTGGGACACTCTCGTTCTGTACACCGAGAACACTTAAACGCCTGCCCGGTCCTCAGCGACATACGCTCTCTGCTCGCCACGTCAACAAGGCGACGTGGCGGGTAGCAACTTGGCTTCTCCTGATTGGGTTGTTGTGATTCTCTGTCGCGCACTCTCAGCGTCGCATCTCATCAACGGCCAGCGTTTGTTCTCCCATCTCTTCTCTCATTGACTGCTTAGGTCATTTTCCTGCCCTGATAATTATACGCGTCATTTTAGACTGCACATGTGTAGCGTCTATCACGCCCTTTTCAGGTCAACAGTCGAGCGCGCTCCTATTTTTAAACAACAGCCCAAAATCCCCTTATTTTCATTATGCCTAGAAAACGCCCTGCGTCTTGCCTCATGGGTTTTTCCACAGGTTTGCTAACTAGGACAAAACTTTTTAAGCCTTCTATTGTTTTGCTGCAGACTAATAATCCACAAAAGTTGGTCATCTAACAGGTCCGTTAAAACTGCCAGACAATAACTAACGTCTGGCTTAACGCGGGCACACAAAATTGGACGCATGCTGGCTTTTAGCAGTCCATATTTAGCGAACTTTTTGCTGCGAGTTTGGCTCTTCATGTGGGAAAGCCAACTCCCTCTTTGGCCGTGGTTCTGCCGAGTATTCTAGTAAAGGTTTTTCCAACTATGCCAGTCACCGAAAGAGCAAGTTTCCATTTAGAGTCGCACTGTAATGATTCCTTTAGGAGAACTCTGAGTTTTGTATGACTTTCTCGTACGTGTTTGTGCGTTGGAGCAACACGGGG